CTTCCTCCTCCTCCGCCCCTTCCCCCTCCTCCCTCCTCCCCCCCGCCTCATCCTTCTCTTTCTCCTGTTCCTCCTCCCCCCTTCACGAACATGATCATGATCACAATCACCATCACCATCATCTTAATCGTCTCCATCATTATCAGCATATCCATCAGCATCTGCATAAGCATCATCATCATAATCAGTATCAGCATCATCGTCATCCTCGTAATCATCATACTCACCAACAACATCATCAGCATCAGCATCATCATCAACATCATCATCGTGTTCACCATCATCATCACCACCATCACCATCGTCATCGGCATCATCATAATCATCTTCTTCCTCATCACCATGATCAGCAACATCGTCCCCAACATGCTCAGCATCGTCATCAACCTCATCACCATCATCAGCAGCATCGTCACCATCATCATCAACATCACCATCAGTGGCATCAGCAAACTCAGCTTACGTACGCGTCGTCATCATCACCATAACCATAACCATCATCATCACCATCATCACCACCATCATCATCATCCTCATCATCATCAGTATTATTAGCATGATCATAAACATCATCAACCTCCTTACCACCACAAGCATCATCAAGATCATCAGCATCATCATCTTCATCATCATCATCACCATCATCAGCATGATCATGATCATTGTCATCATCACCACATAAGCATCAAGACCATCATCAACATAATCACATTATTCCTCTTCCTCCTCCTCATCCTCTTCCTACTCCTCCTCCGGCTCCTCCTTCTCCTCCTCGTCCTCCTCCTCCTCCGCCTCCTCCTCCTCCTCCTCCTTCCCCTCCTCCTCCCCCTCCTCGTGCCCGTCCTGCTCCTCCTCCTCCTCCTCCTCCTCCTCCTTCTCCGTCTCCTCCGCCTCCCCCTCCTCCTCCTGCTGCTCTTCCTCCACCTCGTCCTCCTCCTCTTCCATTTCCTTACAACTAAATTCTGAGTCCACTTTTGAGGGCGGGCTGGAGTCCAGCCGCTGGACGTTTCGCCTGAGACTTCCTCACCAAGTGTTGCCCGGAAGCTTAAAACGTGCAACAGTTTCACATATGGAGGGCGGGTGGTTTTCAAACTGTGGCTCTCGCCTTAGCGCCGCGCACACTCGTTAAGCCAACATTGCAAGAGCTTCACGCGTTGAGGGCGACTGGTTTTCAACATGTGGGTCTCGCGTTGGTGCCGCGTGTATTTGTTTCAAAAATGTCCAGAAGCTTCACGGATTAACGGCGGTTCCTTTTCAATTTGTGGCTCTCTCCGAAGCGCCGCACACATTCGTCTATACCACTTCCGAGAATTCCACGGTTTCCCATGACCAACGCACTACAAGCGGTGTTCCGGAAAGATACAGGATTACGCGGGCGCAACAGTTACGTTGATTCGCAGTGATGACTCGTCAGGCTCGTCAGGACACAACAGTCAAGTTGATCCGCGGCGCTTGAATCCCGAGAACAATGTTGTGACAAACTCCAGAATCTTCAAACGCTTGTCTTTTGACGGGACAGTTCCCTCAATGGAGGTGAACTGTTGTAGGAACTTATGAACAGGGAGCTTGGAGGGATGGTTTCTTCCAGCATCGTTAATGGCTCTTAGGTTTCAACTGGTCCTCGCCCTTCTCCTCCTCCTTCCCCTCCTCCTCCGTTCTGTTTCCTTCTAGATACTTTTCCCTGTCGCACCCCGAGGCCAATTGTTAGGGCGGGTTGTGCGTTTCGCCTGAGACTTCCTCACCCTTTATGGCCCTGAGGCTTAACACACAGCAACCGTTTCACATATGGGGGGCGCGGGTGGTTTTCAAACTCTGGCTCTCGCCTTAGCGCCGCGCACACTCGTCTGAATCATGTGCAAGAGCTTCGCGGACTGAGGGCGACTGGTGTTCAACATGTGACTCGAGCCTGAGTGCCGCGCACGTTCGTTTTTAACAACGTGCAACGAGTTTCACGGATTGAGTACGACTGATTTTCGATATGTGGCTCTCGCCTTAGCGCCGCGCGCATCCGTTTACAACATTTGCAAGAGTTTCACAGGTTGAGGGCGGATGTGTCTGAAACTGTGGCTCTCGCCTCAACGCCGCGTGCATTCATTGTAAAGTTTGCAAGAGCTTCGCGGGTTGAGGGCGGTTTCTTTTCAGAATGGGGCCCTCGCCCTAGCGCCGCGCGCATTCGCTTATGCAATTCAACAGAGCGTCACGGGTTTACATGATCAGCGTACTACAAATAATGTTTCGGAGAGGTTCAGGAGTATGCGGGCGCAGCAGTTACATTGATTCGCGGTGCTGGAGTCCGAAGAAGGGAGTTCTGGCACGATTTCAGCTCGCCAAGACGCAGCAGTCAGGTTGGCCCGTGGCGTTGGAATCCCGAGTACAATGCTGTGACATGGGGCAGGGGATTCGAACGCTTGGCTTCCGACGAGGCAATTCCCTCAACAAAGATGGACCGTTGTAGGAGCCTGTGCAGAGGGGACTTGGAGGGATGGCTTCTTCCAACATCGTGAATAGCTCTTACGTTTAAACTGGTCCTCCACCTCCTCCTCCTCCTACTCCTCCTCCCTCCCCCGCCTCCTCCTCCTCATTTCCTCCTCACGTCCTCCTCCTCCTCCTGCTCCTCCTCCCCCTCCTCCCTCCTCCTCCTCCTCCTCCTCCTCCTCCTCGTCCGACTCCTCCTCCCTCCTCTCCTCCTCCTCCTCCTCCTCCTCCTCCTCCTCCTGCTCCTCTCCTCCTCCTTTTGTTCCTCCTCCTCCTCCTCCTCCTCCTCCTCCTCCTCCACCCCCCCCCTCCTCCTCCTCTCCTCCTCCTCCTCCTCCTCCTCCTCCTCCTCCTCCTCCCCCTTCCTCCCTCTCCTCCTCTTCTTCCTCCTCCTCGTCCTCATCTTCTCCTTCTTCTTATTCTTCATAGTTGTCTTATTTGTGATTTTCTTTCGCTTCTTCTTCTGATTGTGTTCCTTCGTCCTCCTCATCCTCTTCATCTTCCTCCTATTCCTCTTCTTCTTCTTCGTCGTCCTCCTCCTCCTCCGTCTCCTCCTCCTCCTCCTCCTCATCCTCCCCCTTCTCACCCTCTTCCCCCTCCTCCTCCTCCTCCGCCTCCTCCTCTTTCTCCACCTCCACCTCCTCCTTCCCCTCCTCCTCCTCCTCCTCCTCCTCCTCCTCCTCCTCCTCCTCCTCCTCCATTCCTTTCTTCTTGTCGCACCCCGAGGCCAGTTTTGAGGGCGGGCCGGGCGTTTCGCCATATACTTCCTCACCACTGGTGACCCTGAAGCTTAAACATCGGCAACAGTTTCAACTCTGGAGGGCGGGTGGTTTTCAATCTGTGTCTCTCGCCTTAGCGCCGCGCAATTTGGTTCTCAGCATTTGCAGAGGTTTCACGGATTGAAGATCACCCGGTTACAAAATGCGGCTCTCGCCGTGGCGCCGCGCACATTCGTATTAAACATTTGCAAGAACTTCACGGGTTCAGGATCACCGGTTTTCGACATGTGGCTCTCGCCTTTGCGCGGCGCGGATTCGTCTTAAACATTTGAGAGAACTTCTCGGATTGAGGGCGGTTCCTTTTCAAAAGGTGGCTCTCGCCTGCACGCCGCGCACATTTCGTTCATACAAATTTTAAGCGTTTCACGGCATCCCGCTATCAGCGTACCAGAAACGGTGTGGTGTTTCATGATCTTGCGGGTGCAACAATTGCGTTGGTTCGCGGTGCTGAAATCCCAAGGATGGCATGATCCAAGATCGTCAAGGCGCAACAATCAAGTTGATCCGTGGAGTTGGAATCCCGAGAACAATGTTTTGGAATGCAGATCCTTAAATGGAAATGAACCGTTGTAGGGGCTCATGAAGTCGGAGCTTGGAGGGAGGGTGGATTCCAACATCGTTGATGGCTCTTGGGTTTACACTGGTCCTTCTCATCCTCCTCCTCCTCCTCCCCCTCCTCGTCCGCCTCCTCCTCCTCCTCCTCCTCCTCCTCCTCTCTCTCCTCCTCCTCCTCCTCCTCCTCCTCCTCCTCCTCCTCCTCCTCTGCTCCTGCTCCTCCTCCTCCTCCTCCTCCTCCTCCCCCTCCCCCTCCTCCACCTCCTCCTCCTCCTTCTCTCCTCCTCCTCCTCCTCCTCCTCCTCCTCCTCCTCCTCCTCTCCCCCTCCTCCTCCTCTCCCTCTCTCCTCCTTCTCCTCCTCCCCTTCCCCTCCTCTCCTCCTCCCTCCTCCTCTCCTCCTCCTCCTCTCTCCTCCTCTCTCCTCCTCCTCCTCCTCCTCTCCTCCTCTCCTCCTCCTCCTCCTCTGCCTCCTCCTCCCCCTCTCCCTCCTTCTCTCCTCCTCCTCCTTCTCCTCCTGCTGCTCCTCCTCCTCCTTCCCTCCTCCTTCTCCTCCTCATTATCATCAAATTACTCTTCGTCTTCCTCTTCCTCTTCGTCTTCCTCCTCCTCCTCCTCCTCCTCTCCTCCTCCTCCTCCTCCTCCTCCGCCTCCGCCTCCGCCTCTGCGCCCGCCTCCTCCTCCTCTTCCTCCTCCCCTTTCTCCCCTCCTTCTTCTCCTCCTCCTACGCCTCCCCCTCCCCTCCTCCTCCTTCTCCTCCTCCGACTCCCCATCCTCTTCCTCCTCCTCCTCGTCCTCCTCCTCTTCCTCCTCTTCCTCTTTCTCCTCCTCCTCGCTGTTGGCGAATTGAATCAATGAACTGGTTTCCGCGGCGCCTCCTTGGACTGGGGGCGCCCGTGCCTCAAAGGAAGCGCCTGGCGGCGGGGCCGGAACCAACTGCACACACCTCTCCCTAATTCCCGTGTCTTGGGGATCTCGGGAACGTGCTGCGACAGACCGTACAGTGACCTCGGAATCGTCGAAGACCTCACCGCACGATCCATCACATCGCCGTCTTGGAACCATGGAGGCCAACCTCGGAACACGACCCAAGTCCCAACACCGTGCTGTCACCCCGAATTCTCACTGACTCCCCACATGTTGTCGTCACCACACCGTTTGGGCATCCTCGAATTTCGTCCGACCCGGGTGAGGCGAGTAGAAGAAAAGGGGAGAACAGAATGCGTGGCTCGATGGCCAAACGCGAGACTCAGACGCAACGCTGTTGCGTAGAAAAAATATAAACAGGCACTCGCTCGAACGACGACAATGTACGATCTGATCATATTACTGCTCCTGGTTGTACTGCCGCTGCACCTTCAAGTACGGTCCTTTCAATTGACTGCAGTCGGCCAAAAGCCTTGGTACCATACTTTCGGGGACATGTCGAGGGTGCCTGGACCAAATCAGCAAGGCATGATCAAGACAACAAAGAAGAAAACACGCACTGCATGAACGAAATGTTCGGTGGTCGGAGAAGATGTCCCTGGTCGGCGCTGGACGCGGCGCTGAAGGCGCAAGAAGTGGCGGAGGGGGGGATCTCCAGCAACGACCCAAAACTTTCACGCGAACTTCCCGACGTTCATGTGTGCAGTCGGGGCGCACTGCAGATTACGCCCTAGAGGACATAAGACACTTTCGAGGGCACCCCTTAATTACCAGACACATGACCCCTTGCTCAGGAGCAGAACAATAACGCCATAAACAGAAACTTTTCGCGCACCGCGCGGATTTCTTGGATCTGTGCTGGACCCACCTCCCTGGCGCGCGGAGCGCGATGGGGGCGGCGCCGAAGGCGCCGCCAGGGGGGCCCCGACGCCGATCCAAGAAATCCGCGCGGACCGTTAACAATTTCTGTTTATGCCGTCTGTCCTCCTTCGATTGCTTCTATGTGGCGGTGGGCGAACCTCCCTTTCGTAAACAACCCCTTTAGTGGAAACGGCCTGGCACCGAAACCGACGGACCTGGACCCGCAAAAACGACGGCCGCGGCGCCCTCTCGCGAACCGAAGACGGCCAGCTCGCTAATCGACGTGTCAAGGCAAGAGGCCTCTCAACCTCCGATCTATTGAGCCGGCCCACTGGCCAATCGGGGATCTTCTGACCCGGGTCAATCCAGACCCGGGTCAGCAGGAAACCCAAAACTGCAATGCAGGACAAAACAACTGCAACGCGGGTCTTCGCAAACCCGCCAACACGAGCGGCCGCCTCGCGGCCACGAGCGGCTCGCTAACCCGGGTCAGCCAGAGGGGGCCTTGGCAGGATCCTGCAGGATCTGGTGCCCTGGCTGACCCCCGCTTGCATTGACCCCCGTCTCAAGGCTCCCGATTCCTGGGACGGCAAGGGCCTTCTTCGAAGGGCCCGGGACCTTCCCAGAATGCTTCCCAGGAGCCCCCGGGGCCCTCAAGAAGAAGGCCCCTGCCTTCTTAGAGGCCCCCTGCCTTCTTAGGAAGCCCCCCGCCCTGGCTGACCCCCGTCTGCATTGACCCCCGTCTCAAGGCTCCCGATTTAAGGTCTGCGCGAATCTCCGGGAACGGCGCTGGAGGCGCCGCTAGGGGGCTCCAGCAAAGACACAAGAGATCCTCGCGGAACATCGAGAGTTGAGCATGGATCCTGCAGGATCTGGCGCTCTGGCTGACTCCCGTTTGCACGGACCCCCGTCCCTTAGGCCCCGGGCCAGGCCCGCCTGCGTGCCGCCGGCCGTGCTCTTCGGCCTCGGGCCTGCTGGCCCCGCCGCGCGCCGCGGCGCGTGGCCGCCGCTCTCTGCGCGCCTCCGCGGGGCCCGGGCGTCCTGGAACGCGCTCGAACGATCTGCGGGAGGGGGAGGAGGAGGAGGAGGAGGAGGAGGAGGAGGAGGAGGAGGAGGAGGAGGAGGAGGAGGAGGAGGAGGCACTGCGGGGAGCTGATTTTGACCCACACGGGCGGGCGCTGGTGGCCCCCGGTTGCCCTTCGCGTCTTGTTGCGCGGCCCTCGGGGATCACCCTGGCCTTCGTTGCGGGCCGCCATCGGCCCAGGCGACTCCCTCGTGGCTGTGCTTTTAGAGGCCTGGTGCAGCGGTTCGAGCCGAGGGGGTAAGGATTGGGGTAAAGAACCCTCATATAAGAAATCGTTGGACGCCCGAGCTGGATACGGAAAAAGTGAGTACAATGCCCAACAACAAATACTATCCAAATTCGACAGCGGCCGCTGTTGGGCAGGCGGCTTCTGTGTCTTCAATGAACAACGTCCGCGGCGGCGTGGACAGCGAGTCCTGTTCAAAATGAAAAAGGAACTGCTGTTGGGCATTGTACCCATCCTTTCCGTACCCATTCCGATCGTCCTGGGGATCCAGGGTCTGTAGAAGAAGAAATAAACATATAAACACAAACTTTTGGCGCTCCGCGCGGATATCTTGGGTCCGCGCCAGGCCCCCCTCCCTGGCGCGCTCCGCGCACCAGGGGCGGCGCCGGAGGCGCCGCCAGGGGGGCCCAGCGCCGATCCCAGAAATCCGCGCGGAGCGCCAAAAGTTTGTGTTCATGTGTTTTGGTTCTTCTTCGATGTTGGGCATTCTACCAAATGCTTTCCGTACGCATTCCGATCGTCCCGAGAATCCAAGGTCTGGACGCCAATGAAACTCCAGTCGTGGGTCGGCCATGGATGTCACTGCCGCCCTCGCCAGCTCAGGACTCCCCCAAGGACTGAGGCCTCCTGGGCACAGTCCTTCACAGACGCCGCTCCCGTAGGACCATCCTGGGACTGCCTGAGTCTTGGAGGCAGCATGGGGGTCTGAATTGGTTGGGACCCCAGAAGTAGAAGAAGACGAAGAAGAAGAAACAACCACGTTAACATAAGCTTTTGGCGCACCGCACGGATTTCTTGGATCCGCGCTGGACACCCCTGGCGCGCGGAGCGCGCCAGGGGCGACGCCAGAGGCGCCGCAAAGAGGAGGCCAGGCGCGGATCCAAGAAATCCGCGCGGAGCGCCAAAAGTTTGTGTATGTGGCTTCTTTTTCTTCTTCGAGTCTTGGAGGCCGCATGGGGGGTCTGAATTGGTTGGGACCTCGGAAAATCGACCACGAGGGTGGATGATGCCACATCCGTTCACAATCGGTCCCCGGACTCCTCCCCGGGTCCATCTGGTGCAATGCTTCACCCAGACATGTTTTTTTCGGACCCACGGCCCTAAAGGAGGCCCCCCGAGGCCGCAACGGGCAAAAACACCGCCTCGGACCCAGCGCCTCGAGCCTTTTCGCCCTTCCTGCTGGCTGGAACCAGTGCTGGGCCACCTCAGACCCCAGAAGGCTCCAACCATCCTTCTCCTTCTCCCTCACGGAAAGACCTGGCACAATGCCAAGCAACACATATATCTTCCCAGACCAGCAGCGGCCGCCGCTGGGCAGGCGGGCTTCTATCTCAAATGGGAAGCGTCCGAGGCGACGCCGACAGACAGTCGCCACTCGCGGACGAATCCTACCTTTAGGTCGGGCACGTCCCCCTGCAGGCGGATTTTGGCAGACACATGAAAACATAATCAAAAAATGCCCAAACATAACACAGCAATGGTAGAAACACCGTCCCCAGACTATTTGACTACTTTTTGAAAATTCCTCTGGTCGCTATTGGACGCTTGTTGGACGCTGTTCGGCGCTACTTTGAGCAAGGACCGACCGTCCCGGCATTCCTATAGTCCTACCACGACATGTTCATATAATCAAACCATTGTCCTAAGAACCGAAGCAATGTTCTTAGAACATACAAGCCCGATGTGCTAAGAGGCGACAACCTCAGACAGGCATGCTCTGAGAACACTTTGTGGAGACCACACCTTGGTAGGACTGAAGGCCTAGGACTAAAGGCTTGGTAGGACTAAAGGCTTGGTAGGACCAGAGGCCTAGGACCAAAGGCCCGGTAGGACTAAAGGCTTGGTAGGACTAACGCCTAGGACTAACTGGCCTGGGACTTGGTAGGGTTCTTAGAACTGACTACCTACCAGACCACCCCAACCCAACACGAAGACCCGAATTTCGGGTTGGGGGGGGTAAGGGTTCCACGCGTGTTTTTTCGATGTTCCCCGACCCCCCCCCCCACTGGAAATCGACGGTAAATCTGAGCCTTCGGGTTGGGTTGGGGTGGTTTGGTGGGTGGTGAAGAACACCCCCCGAAATGAGACCCCCCCCGAAATGAGACCCCCCCCAAATGAGGCCCTCCAAGATAGCCTGGAAGAGACCCCACCCGAAATTAGACCCCCCTCCCTTCTATTACGAAATCTGGAGTAGGGCCCTTAGAACACTGCTTGGCAGGACCAAAGGCCCGCCTCGACCCCACCCGGCCCGCGGACGAGGCAGCGCATCTCGGGTCGGGCGAAAGGGGGGGATAGCAAAGGGGGGGTTTGAGAATCAGCTCACGTAGCTGATTTTCCCGGCGCCTTCCGGCGCCGGAGGCGGCGATGTATCGAGGAATGGGCCCCTCGGTGAGGCCGCAACCAGCTGCATGCAGCAAATTTCGTAACCCCCCGTTTCCCAATCCCCCCCTTTCGCCCGGCCCGACAAAGGCCCGCCTCGACCCCACCCGGCCCGCGGACGAGGCAGCGCACCCGGCCACGGCCTGGGGGGGTCTGGGGACGATGTTTTGGAGGGTTCTCCCACGGGGGGGGTCTGAAATGGCTTGTCTTGGAGGGTCCAGACCCCCTCCCTTTTATTACGAAGTCTGGAGTATCGTTGTTGTTTTGTTGTCGTTTTCCCCCGCTTCTGTCTCGAAGCGGAAGCGGCCCACAAGATCACCAAAAACACGGTTTAGGTCCAGCCCCAGACTCAGGTCGGGCGCGTCCCCCTGCAGGCGGATTTTGGGCGATAGATAAGACATGCCCCGACACTGCTCACAAATATGCAGACCTAGGGAGGTAGAACCCAGACCATGCTTTGACACTATCTTTGCACATTCCTCCTGACGTGCTTTCGACATGTCCAGGGTGCCCCTCTCCCCCTCCACTTCCCAAATGCTCCATCTACTCACGGAAATCCACGTCTGTCTGTGCCTGTGTCCCTTCCTTCCTACTGGCTCCAGCAGGCCGCTGGAAGCGGGACCGTGCTGAGTGCGACGCATCGTACCCAGACCCCCGACGTTCTAATTTTGTTCGCAACATCTGCACCCAGAGGTCCCGACCGCTTCCCCGGGACCGGTTTCCCAGAGGTCCCGACCGCTTCCCCAGGGGCCGACAGTGCGGAAACACCCACAGTCGTGGTATTGTTCACGACAAAGGGGTAGAGTCGAACCTGGCCGGAAGAACATCCTTCGAGAACAGCTGGCCAAGACACACGGAGCATCCAAGGGTGCCCTCCCCAGGAAGCACAAGAGCAGCCAGCAGGCACGAATAACATCAGGGCACCCTCCCCGAATCGAACCCAGAGGTCCCCAGAGGTCTCGACCACTTCCACAAGGACCGGTGTTTCGCCCCGAGTCATTTTCTCACGCTCCCGAGGGCCGGCAAGGGCCCCGGGAGGCCCAAGGTAGCGAAAACCTCCCGAGGGGGTCTGGGCACCCTCCCCGAACCGACCTCGATCTCAGACCTCGGTCCGACTGAAACCTCGCCATTCGGGTCGCAACAGACGTCAGACCAGGATCCTCCGAGCCAACTCCAGGTTTCCCTCTGGACGCCCGAAGTGGGCACGGAAAAGATGGGCACAGTGCCCAACCACAAATGTTGACCCAAACTAACAGCGCCCTCTGTTGGGCAGGCGGCCGTCTGTCTCGAATGGACACAGGCCGCGGCGGCGCGGACAGCGAGTCCTGCTCGAAACGAACGGGAACTGCTGTTGGGTATCTGGGCATCGCTCGGACGTCCCTTCCCTGTGTTTTTGTTCGGTTTCGTGCGTGGTTTTCTCGCCAAATGATCAAGGATGCTCCTCGATGGTCCTCGCCGAAGGAAAAATGCCGCAGGCCTTCCCAGAAGGCGGCAAGGTTTCTGAGAAGCCCTCCCGCCTTCTGGGAAGGAGGAGGAGGAGGAGGAGGAGGAGGAGGAGGAGGAGGAGGAGGAGGGGGAGGAGGATGAGCAGGAGGAGGAGGAGGAGGAGGAGGAGGAGGGGGAGGAGGAGGACCATTGTACCCGCTCCCGAGGCGGGCAGGCCGGCTCTCTCAAGAGGCCTCTGGAGCGCCCGGCGCCGCCCCGAGGCTCGCGGCCCCCCCTCTTTGCCTTCGCATGCTCGCTCTCGCACCTCGTCCTCGCCGTCTTCGTCCTCGCCGTCGTTCTCGCCCACCTCCGGTCACTCGCCCACGTTCTCCTCCTCCCCCCAGCCAATCCTGCTTCCTCTCCCTCTCTCTCTCTCCATCTCTCCCTCCCGCCCTCCCTGCTGCCTCTCTTCCTCGCTTTCTCTGCCACGCCGCTCATCCCGCTCATCCGCTCGCCTCGCCAACTTCCTTCAACCTTCGCTTCTCTCATTCTGTTTCTCCATAGATGCCCCCTTCCTGCCGCATCCCCAGACGCGTCGGCAGGGCGGGCGGGGCGTTTCGCCCGAGACGCCCTCTCCACACATAATCCTGGGACTTCATCCTTTAGCACCAGCTAGTGCACGAATGGAGGGGGACGGTTTTCAAGATGGGTCTGTCGCCTTAGCGCAACACGCGTTCGTCTCAACACCGTGCAACAACTACAAGGATGGAGGGGGATGGATCCGAATTGGAGCTCTCGCCTGAGCGCAGGGCACGTTCGGCTCAAAAGCTAGCGCCAACTACAATGAAGAGAAGGGATGGTGTTCTGCAAGGGACTCCCGCCCCCGCGCTGCGCATCGCCTTGACACAGTGCCAGCTGCAGAGATGGACGGGGCGAGGATTTCAAGATGAAGCGCTCGCCTCAGCGCCATGCGCCTGAGCCTGAAATGCTTGCAGCATTTACCAAGGTGTACAGAGGTGGCTTCCAAACTGGTGTGGGGTTCTCGCCTTAGCTCGCCATCGCTCGGACGTCCATTTCCCGTCCATTCATTACCGCACGATGACCAAAAAAACTCATCGATGGTCCTTGCGGAAAACAATGCACACGTCCGAGCGATGCCGAGTACAAAGATGGAACGGGGTGGCTCTCAAAATGCTCCCGCCTTCGCGCCGCGCAGATTCGTAGGAGAAGCTTGCAACAACGACGCGAGTGGACAGCGGAACATCCTGGAACCTCACTCGCCATCGTTCGGACGTCCATTCCCCGTGCGTTTGTCGATGTCGTGCGTTTCTGTTGCTCGATGAGTCAGGATGTTCCGCGATGGTCCCCGCCGAGGGAAACCTGCGCACGTCCGGGCGACCTTGAACTCAAGGCTGGCAGCCTGAACTCGTGTAACAGCCGCACGGGTGGAGGGCGGCCGTTTTTTTTTTTTTTTTTTTTTTTTTTTTTTTTTGTTTTCTCTCTCTCTCTCTCTCCCTATATATATAAACTGGGGCTCTATCACTCGCTTGAGACTTAATCGATGCTGGTGGCCAGAAGAGTGAACTTAGGTCGGGATCCCCAAATAGTCAACACATACTAACAACACATCGTCCCCATAGTATTTGTTCGGAAAAGAACCCTGTGCGGACCTGTTTTTGGAAACACGGAAACGGCTTTGAAATGATGCATCCGGATTCGCTCGGAGATGGTTGTCCTTAGGATCGTTTTGGTTCCCAGGTCGAAAAAAAAGGAAGAAGAACAAACTATTGTGTTCTTTGGTTTCGACATCAAAGACCCCCCAAAAACCAAAGGAACATCGAAACAACACAAAAATCATCTCCCGGGGAGGTATTCGGAAAGAGTCCCCCAGGGATTGGTTTTTGGTTTTTGCTTGGTGCTCCTGAAATTTTTTGCTGGTCGGAAGCCACACGAACAGAAGGTTCGGTGGGGTGTTCTGATTGGAAACAAAGAAAACGCACTGCTGTTGTGATTCGGATATGGAATACATTGTGTTTTTTGTTTCCGATGGGAAAAAATGTTTCTTTTGGTTCCGAGGTTGAAGAAACAAAAAACAGAGTGTTATGTTGGTTTCCAATTGGAAAACCAAAAAACAAAGGAAGACTAAACAACCAAAACACAGTGACTGGGAAGGTCTTCGGGAAGAGTCCCCCAGGGATTTGCTGTGTGGTTTCCCTTTTCTGTGTTTTGTTTTGGTCTTCTCTGGTTGCAAACAAAAACCAATGTTTCTCTGTTTTGCTTTTCTGTTTGGAAGCCAAGAACACAGAATGTTTGCTGGTTCGGATCTGAACAACAACACAACATGTGTTTTTTTGGTCTCCGATGAGAAAACCCACCCCGCCCCAAAAACGCATCATGTCTGTTTGTTCCGAGGTTGGAACCCCCCAAACAACATTGTGTGGTTGGTTTCCATGTGAGGGAAAAAACAGAAAACCGAGGGACAACCAAACAACAACCAAAAACAACAATTCCTGGAGAGGTCGTCGGGAAGAGCCCCCCCAAGGATTGGTTATTTGGTTGTTTGGATTTTCTCGCCGGAAACCAAAACAACACAAAGTTTTTGTATTATCTATCCTCCTCCACCTCCTCATCCACCCCCTCCTCCTCCTTCTCGTCCTCCTCCTCCTCCTTTTCCTCCTCCTCCTCCTCCTCCTCCTCCTCCTCCTCCTCCGCCTCCTCCAACTCCTCTTCCTCCTCCTCGTCTTCACCCCCCTCCCCTTTCTCCTCCTCCTCCCTCTCCTGCTCCACTTTCTCCTCCTTATTTTCCTCCTCGTCCTCCTCTTTCTCCCCCTCTTCTCCTCCTCCTCCGCCTCCTCCTCCTCCTCTCTCCCCTCCTCGTCGTCCCCTTTCCTTTTTCCTGTCCTCTGTCTCCTCGTCCTCCCCCTCCTCCTCCTCCTCCTCCTCCTCCTCCTCCTCCTCCTCCTCCTCTCTCGTCCTCCCTTGTCATCCTCCTCACCGTTCCCCACGTCATCATCTTCCTCCTTCTCTCCCTAGAATCGCATATATATATATACATGTGTATATCGATATGTCTATATATATAATATTTTACATGAGCTCAAACTTGAATGCCCCGTACCATTTTTAGACCCCAGCATTTCAATAAACAGGGGGGGTCTAAAACTGAACCCGAATGCTCTTTTCTCCACATTACAAGCTCCCCCCCGCCGCCCATGGCCTGACTCCCAACGGGCTCCCCAAACCGTCACCATATGTCGTAAGCTTCGGGTGTTTGCTTGACGAATGCGGGTTGACGCAATGCCCATCAAAATCACACGGCTTACACCGACAAGGCTGCATAACATGTTTCGAAGACGCCATCAGGCCACCCGGCTGGTCACTTCCAAAAGAGCACCCTGCCCCGCCTGCCCCACCTTGCCCAGGATGTTGTGTTGATGTAGCCGCTTGTTTCCACAGCCAACTCCCCCTCAAGCCTGCAGCGCAAGCGCGTTGCCAGACATTGCCTGGAAGCTTACGGAAAGCTTGCAATGGCAAGTGCGCACAACTCCCGAGCAACCAGTTTCGCGCGATTCTTCGATGTACCTGATGATCGCGGCATCACTTTCGAACGATCAATCGTGCTGACGAAAGACAGGAAGCGCGGCCCACTCTTGGCTCAGCCGGTAATGAAAAACATTGCACCTGGGGACATCAAGCCCGACCAATCGCGGCTCGGGAATCGACCCATGACCCCGCGGAGGGCTCAACCAAACTCAGCCAATTCGTTCACTTCGTACATCCGCACACAGGACCACGCCAGTACACCGAGGAGGACCAACCTGAGCAAAGGGTGGCAAAGATGAAAGAGTTCGAAAGGGTGGCAATGTCTAACTGCTTCGAGAACTACCCTGGAATCATGAAGCCAACCAACACAACTGCCCAGCCTTCCACGATGCAGACGTTCATCGCAAAGAACCCGGACAACACGCGTAGCCTCCTCAAGAATTTCACACCGGAGAAGGACAACAACATCAAATACAGTGATGCGTTCCAATTGCGTCACGGGGCCATGTACCAGGTCGGTTACGGCTCGCACACCAGGGATGGATCTAGAACGCTACAGTATCTATTAGAACGGTTGCCAGGGCCCCAGGTGAGATACTATGCAGTAGCGGACTCGGGCGCGCACAGACAAGGATTCGAAACGCAAGGGTTTCGATTGCATCAGGGAGCACGGATCGAATGCCAACATGGATAACAAGGCCTTAGAGTTCGCGGAGATGGCGTGCGACAGCCCAGATACTCCGATCTACGGTTGGCGAAAGGCACTCGTTGAACGTTCGTGTCTCGACCGCGGGAAATCAACGGCAGCTGCCCGCAAGCAGTCGTTCAAGCACCTCGCGATGTGGCACGTCAGGAGGTGGTTCTTGATGTGCGTGCTTTCGCCGATCCTGGGTCTGTGGTGGAGACATGCGCTCATTTTCATTGGCGAATCTGGCTTCGGACAGAGTCGGGTGGCAAAGCTATTGACCAGGTTGTTTTCCATGTGGCACGCCGAGAACGATGGCATGGGCGAGGAACCCGGCTTCCGCTTGTGCAATTCCTTCGAACACCTCCGACACGAAGTGGGCAGGCGGGATGTATCGGAAGTGTTCGACGACAGCGACTTGGAGCAGCGGGACCAGGCCAAGCTCAAGGCTTTCCATGACAACACGGAGCAAGAGAACCGCACGGTGATCACTGCGAACACCGCCTGCGACGAGAACGCCCTGCCGTCGGATGCCGACCTGGCGTGCTGCTGGCCCGTTGCCACGGCGCAGCAATTCTACGACGCGGTCCGCCCGTCGTTCCACCCAAACCTCTCCAAGAAGAACTGGATGGCCCTCTTCAAAAGGTCCAGCATCGTTCTGTTCGACAAGAGGGGCGTGCTCTGCAGACCTGCTGGCATCGAGGACAAACCAGTCCCCTTCGTGGCCTACCAGATCGAGGGGAAGCCAGACATTCTGACCGACGAGTGCAAGCAACACTACGGCAAGTTTTTTTTGAGAATAGCAGCATCCCGCCTCCAGCCGACTATGATGAGAAGATGGCGTGGTCTGTGGCTTACTTGAAGGTTTGCATGGCAGGCCAGACGCCACCGCCGATCAGGACAATCATGACCCGCAACATGATCGGCGCGGCGCGCGGCTCCGCTGGCCTCTACCAAAACCAAGCAACCGTCGTGGAGAGCAAGCCGACCACCTGTCAGCTAGTCAGCATGCCAGCCAACAGCGGTTTCGCTGACCCGCAACCGAGGGAGACGGGCGCGGCGTCGGCAGCGCAGCTCGTGGAGAAGCAGGAGGTGAAAATCGAGGGCGGGGGAGGCCCAGGCGGAGACAACTATGCGCATGCACCGACCTGGCCAGAGCAAACCCGATCCCCAGATCGGAACATACGGTCACTCGGCATTGCCATGAAGTCGTGCGAACCGACCCTGGGCCAATGCTAGCGCTGGACAGGGTCGGTGCATGCGCGTCGCTGTCTCCCCTCTGACAGGCGCCAAGGTCAAGGTGGAGCAGGCCGACTCCCCGCAGCCCCACAGATCGTGGGGCCAGCGCTTGACCCCTCACAATCGGCCTCCCATCGAGACTCCCAACCAGAGCCCGCCCAAGAAGAAAAGGTTTTCCAACGGCATGGACTTCGATATTTCATGGTTCATGTTTGCAGAAATGACGAGACAACGTGCGCCTACGAAAGCAACCTCTTCGCAACCAGAGCGCCGCCGTAGCCCAATGTGTCGCAATCCCTAATGATTCGGCGAAGATGTGAAATTCGGTACCGCTGCTTGGATCTATGAATTTCGATATTTGTATGGCTCATTTCTTCAAAAATGGCAAGACATTGCGCGCCTACGAACGCAACCTCTTCGCAACCAGAGCACCGCCATAGCCCAATGTGTAGCAATTCCTAATGGTTCGGCGAAGATGTGAAATCTCAGAATTCGATATCACTTCTTGTCAATCATTTTTGCGGAAAGAAAGCGCAAATCAAAACAGTAGCTTGTTCGCAAACAGAGCGCCGCCTCAGAATTCCGAGTTGCTTTTGGGAATGCTACAGGGAGAAGGAAGAGAAAAAGGATAAAGAGAAAGAGAAACATCGGAGGAAGCTGGGCACATAGACAAGGGAGGAGTTTGAGGAGGGCGCGGGCGAGGAGGAAGGTTGTTGGCGCGCGCACGAAATGAATTAAAAACCAATGGTTGTTGACAACCTTTATGGGAAGTGCCGTTTTCGCCTCGGCAAAACGCATGAAGGGACCGCACCGAACTGAGAACCGGGAACCGTGACCGAACCGGACCGAACCGGTCCAAAACCAGGAACGTAGAAAACCGAACCGGACCGAACCGAATTCATTCAGAACCGAACCGGCGAGGACCGAACCGAACCAGAACCGGAACCGAACCGGAACCGGGCGGCCCTTGAACCGAACCGACGGGAACCGAACCGAACCCCTTTCCCGTCTGGTCCGGACCCCAGGACCCCGATGACCCCCAGGACTCCGGGACCCCGATGACCCCAGAACCTCCCGAAGATTCCCGCGACCCCTCCTCCTCTTCCTCCTTCTCCTCCTCCTCCTCCTCCTCCTCCTCCTCCTCCTCCTCCTCCTCCTCCGCTTCCTCCTCCTCCTCGACGGCGGCGGCGTCGGCGGGCGCGGGCGTCGGCAAGCGTCCGTCGTCGTCGTCGTCGTCGCCGTCGTCGTCGGGGGGCCGCGGGTGAGCCCCGGGGGGCCCCCTGGCAACCCTCCTGGCAGCCCCCCTGGCGACCCCCCTGGCGACCCGCGACGGCGACGACGACGGCGGCGGCGACGGCGGCGGCGGCGGCGGCGACAGCGACAGCGACTTCGACCCCCCTCGCGGGTGCGAGCCCCCTGGCGGGCGCGACCCCCCTGGCGGGCGCGACCCCCATGGCGGGTGCAACCCCCCTGGCGGGCGCAACCCCCCTGGCGGGTGCAACCCCCCTGGCGGGTGCAACCCCCCTGGCGGGCGCAACCCCCCTGGCGGGTGCAACCCCCCTGGCGGGTGCAACCCCCCTGGCGGGTGCAACCCCCCTGGCGGGTGCAACCCCCCTGGCGGGTGCAACCCCCCTGGCGGGCGCACCCCCCCTGGCGGGTGCAACCCCCCTGGCGGGCGCGACCCCCCT